AAACAGGTTATTAAGCTATCTCGTACAAAATCTTACTCTAACTTAACACTAAACCGATAATTTTGTATTCGACACAAATTATGAAAAAATTTAGGAAATAAAGAATTAAATAAATATTTTCATGTATCACTCCGTTTTATCCCCGAAGGGGTAGGGTAGGCATAGGTGCATATTACAATGTAACACCCACTTTTCACTATTTATGTTATGAGTCCCATGTAAAAGGCTCACTATTGCCATATACCGGACACAATTCCAGATTCCGTGTAACTATTGCGACATTTTTTAAAACCCCACTGTTGTTTTGCCCGCCCCGGGAATCGGACCTGAGATCCCTTGCCCGGCAATCGCACTTGCGACCACTCGGCGAACGAGGCAATCAATCATATTTATGTCATATATATGCCTTATAAATACGAGAAATAACACAAAGGCTTAGCTGAGTGATTCTTGATGTGTATTTAATTCAATTTCTTTAATTTTGTGCAGTAAAATATAAAAATTTTGGGTTTGTAAAAACCTCAGTAGTAGCACGGATACTGGAATTGTGCTCGCTATATGGCAATAAGCTCACTCCCTATTACATGGGAGTCATAAAATAAATAGTGAAAAGTGGGTGTTACATTGTACAGTGACATTAAGGGCCGTAATGTAATGTGCACCTCTGCTTACCCCTTAGGGGATAAAAGGCGTGATGTTATGTTATGTTATGTTAAAAATGCAAATATAATTTGTACTATGTAACTAAATCTACATAACGCCTTTACATATGTGCACATGATAGGGTAGATGACAAATTTTTATTTTAATGTCAGACGGACATTAAAATAAATAATAGGTAGATTATTTTAAATCATTAGACACGTATTTTTATTTTTTTACGGAAACGAATACTTTCGACGATGTATTGATTTGAAATGTCGCGTGACGTCACTTCTATGTACATTTTATACGTAGAAATGACGTTTTAGCCCCCACTCCTAAACTTTGATTAGTTTCGTTATATCTAAGTATTGTTTTATTATGCCACAAAATAAAGAAATACGTGTCTAATATTTTTTCGTTACCTAACTGACGGACTAAATAGATTTATAATTTTCATACCCTGTCATCAACCCTATTATAGATTATATATACGTATAACACCCATTTTTGCCAGTCGTGTTATGATTCGCATATAACATAAAAAGGTGAGAAAGTAAATCTTCTTTTATATTAAAATAACTGTTTTATAATACAATATTATATATTATGTTCTATATATTATCACATTTTGTGTCGATACAAAAAACGTTATTTCCAAAATATGGTCTCATGTTAGGATTTCCCTGTAAAATGTGAAATTGGCGTACTTTAGTACATTTCAATGGTGTAGAATAGTTATTCGAATAATGTTAGTCGAATTATTCGACTCATTACTCATATTATTCGAAATCATCGTAACACCCATATCCCGTAAATACCAAGCTGTATTATACGAAGAATTCGTAACTACATTATTTGGATATCAAAATACATTTATTAGTTTGTGAATATTTATACAAAAGGTTTTCATAAATTAACAGAATGGAGCTTTATTACTTGATTTATTCCAAATAATATTACTCAAATTATTCGAAACAATATTCCAACTGTTAGAATTAACTCGTTTTGTGAATCATTATGTACCAGCCGGTAACATTTACAGTTTTATTATAAATAGGATAGGAAATGATTCCTATTATTTTAATGAAAATTTACGATTAACATTTAACATGCGTTTTATTCTGCATGGGTATAAGTAGAATTGTTATATATAGCTCTTTGCCGCCAATTACTATCATTACCTATTATAATACAAATTGTATATTCACTGAGATTGAGAACTAATATACTACTTTGTATACCGATTTAAAGATTAGGGTCTAATGCTTAGCATTTAAAAATGAAATTCATTTTCTTCATACATTTGTGACATTCTTTACAGTGCATTTAGCCAAACGCCACTTTAGCTCTTGTTGAGAGAGTAGAAAACTAAATGTATGGGGATGACACTGACAAGTGTCAAAATTTACATCAATCCCTTATAATTTGGTTTTGTACTCTACATGTAGACAAGCGCTAAATGGCATTTGGCTACAACTGTAGTTTCGAATAAAATTAGACATGAATATAAAAAAAAACTAATATATATGAGGTTTGCAAATCCTATATTATCGGTATCACATACATAAGTTTAATTCATGCCATTTATTTGCCGAAGGAGTGACAAAGACGGACATAATATCGCACCTACGGTGCAATATCGTCACTTATGCAATTTTTGTCAAAACTTAACTGATTATGAAAGAATACTAAATTCACCTCTTTACTTGGTGCGTTATTGTCATTTGTGCAGTAAGCAAACTGACATTGTGAGAGCATTACTGTCGTTACGGTTTTGGCGCTAATCTGGACGGCACTAGGAAAAACAACGTTTCATTGTTCAGTTGCGCGCGGACCCCCGCAATACATAAGTGACGGTAAAGCACCGGAGGTACGATATATATGTTATGAGTCCCATGTAATTGGGACTCTGTTACACAAGTTTAGTGAGGCCACATTTGTCGTTCGTTTAGCTGCGTTGCGTGGCGTCGTCGCAAAGGAATAGCATTGTACGCCGCACCGTCGCAGCTGCGTCTCAGATAACGTGATGACTCTCAGTCTATGCAGCGCATTACTCTCCCTCCCGCTTCATCTCTTGTCCGTCTACTCATTGAAATGTCGCGAGCGACAACGCAACGCTCTTATGTGGCATATTATAAAAATAACGGGTTAACAGGGCTTCGGCTCAAAGCGCATGAGAAGGAACGGGGTGGTTTTTAGTCAGTAAGAGTCTGACACTCCCTTCCGTCTCACCCAGGCGGGAGCAGATATGCGATGATTTTCCTTCATTAAAAAAAAGTGTATCTACTAGGTTGCCACGGGAACGATACTAGCGACCTCAGTAATTCCTAAGTCTTTTTTGCCATACTCTGCTTAGTTTGGTCTCTCGTATCGACGCGATCAAGTGACATTAGCGCCGTATCGGAAACGAGCGCTAGTGTTAGCATGTGTAACATCCCTGCGACTCATAGATTAGAATTACTGCTAATCATTGGCCCTAATTCCTATCTCTGGTCAGTTTACTGAGAGTATCGAAAACTGATCAAACGAAATCTGTCGTCGGCGGTATTTCCGAACCGATACGACCTTTAAACCTTCAAGATATGAGCGTATTCCTTTTTAAAACGCCGGCAACGCACCTGTGACTCCTCTGGTGTTGCGGGTGTCCGTGGGCGGCACTGATCGCTTACCATCAGGTGATCCGTCAGCTCGTTTGCCTCCTATTCCATAAAAAAAAAATTAAAAATATTTGCCTATTCGACCAAAGAACCTAATTACTATAGTAAAATATGAAATAAACCTAATAACTGGAGATTTGAATTTATTAAAACAATTGCCGACATTAAGACGTTCCCTATGGCCGAACATAGGGAGTTGCCTATATCGGGCACATGCCGGTTATAGGCGTAGCGTGTGTTAGTGTTATCGATATTAGAAAATTAGTTTAAATTGTAAGTAACTAGCCACTTTGATAATGTATAAGGAAACGACATAATTTGGATTATGATCGATAAATGCTACACAATAAGGTTCAATATGCACTAAATAATGGACCAATGTTGGCATTAAGCACAGCTTCAATATTTTAAAGGGATACTTATACATAACATCACGCCTATTATCCCCGAAGGGTAGGCAGAGGTGCACACAGAAGTAACACCCACTTTTTACTATTTATGTTATGAGTCCCACGTAATAGGGCGTGAGCGTATTGCCATATACCGGGCACAATTCCAGACTCCGTGCAACTACTGAGATTTTTTAAAAACCCAGTAATACTTTGCCCGACTACTTTTTCCCACTATACAGGGATACTTATAGTACCCATATTATTTTTTCTAGTTAATCCTATCTGTAATATAGCACGCTTAATGCCGAACATCAGCCACAAAATCAATTTAAAACTAATATATATAAAATGGTGAAGATTCTACGACCACAAATTATCTCATTCCCTTACGTTTCTACATCTAATATATAAAACTATAACTAAGTTATATATAAAAATATATACCCATTATATGTATAATATTTCATTATAATTATGATATACATAATATAATAGAAATTTATACAAGGTGTAGTTTTGAAACCATGACCTTTCTCGGGGGCATGTCACAGAAGTCGTAAAGGTGCAATGTAAAAGAAATTTTCGGGCCAATAGTTAAAAATACGGCTATAATAAATCAAGTTCGACAATATTTCAGAATAAGCGACAGCAATGTTTCTTATTGGAGTTTTATGGAATTAGGAATAATATCAATTACGTGTTTGAGTTTGTGTGTGTTAAGCCGCGTTATAAAGCTAGTTACAAGACGGCGGCGCGGCGTGTAGTTCGCACTTACGGATTTCCGTATTTTAGAGAAAAATGAAAAATTTTTTTTATTGGTTCGGACTCAGAATCAGTAGCCGAGTTACCTCCTAGAAAATGACGCGGCTTTAAAACAACACCTTGTATATACACTACATAGTACACAACAAAATCGTTTCTGCTGTCCCCAGTACGCTTAATCTTTGAAACTACGCAACGGGTTTGGGCGCCATTTTTATTATCAAACGGTTTTATTGGGCTTGCCCTGTTTGTTTCGGTCTTAGTAATTGGAATTTCACCCCCTTCCTGACGATATATCGATCTGGGGGCTTACTCTTGAATCTAATTCCGATCGATCGACATTGTTATTGTAAAATTTCGTACTCTTGAGTTGCAACACTAGCGCCCATTGCATCCGTATTGCATGAATATTTTATGAACTAAATGGTTTTGAGTTTGGCTTTATATTCCGTACTCTGAATGCTATTTTAACAGCTACGATAGTGGTTGTATAGTTTCGACATTGAATAATTATTGAGATTTTATTGCATTGACATTGAGATTGGTTTCAAGAGTAAGCACCCTGATATTTGATAGATATTCTTAATCTTGATGACCATATAATATTATAATCAATTTTGTCCACATCTAACGAAGGGCTTGATTGGTAAAACAGAGCTTAAGTAAAAATTGTTTTATATATATTACTTGTTTTAACAGACAAACGTCTTGTAGTAATAAATGTAAGATTTATATTTCTGTTATATTATATATAACCATGATTTTATAATTATATTTATAAGCATTATATGTAATTGTATTTATTAGTACCCAACATATCTTAGCGACAGCTAAGCTATTATGAAATTTGTACATACATATAATCACGAATTAATTCTCGCATCTGAGATATACTGGATAGTATTTATAATTAAAATAAGTATATACTTAATCAAAATCCCCATATATAATGACAACGGGACGAAATTAAACTTTATAATCGTTACTATAAGGTGCACTTTGAAAAATCTTTTATAGGAGTGACATATTTATATATTCATTCCAAATACTGACATCACCGTTGTTAAAAGAATTATATACTACGCTTTGTCTGTACCTTCTTTATTCGTTTGGGCCAAACGTCTTCTCCTATGTATTAAAGGTACGAAACCCCATAAAGCAGCGCCGAAGATTAGGACGAACCCTAGTGTAACAAATAATGATTTATAGGACTTTGTATACTCAAACCAGAATCCACATATAGGGGGCCCTATTAACTGTAAAATCCCGTTTACAAAGAGACTAATCCCGTATGACGACATCAGCCGTTCCGTACCCAACATTTCAGTCATGACTAACGCTGTTACCCCTACGTTAATCCCAGAAGCTATACCGAATATAGAACAAAAAGCGCTTATAGCAGAATAGCTTGAAACTAACGGTATCACGGACAAACTTATACCAGATAGTAAGAGACCAAAAATAAAGAAATATCGTTTTGGAGTAAGAACCAAATCGGATAACGCCGAACCGCCGATTCGGCCGACCAAATCTAAAGCAGATATAATTGAGAGTAAATACGCTCCTAGCGATTTATCAAAGCCGCACTCTTTAGCGTAAGATGGTACTAAAATTATAAAATTGGTATATGAAATCGCGCAAGTACAATTAGATATTAGAATGACTAAATATATAGGATCTTTGAGTAATTGTATATCAAAATATTTACTTGGTTCCTTTTTGGCGTCATCTTCTTTGCTCTTCTTTTTACAACCACAACAATACGTTATGGGAGCTAAACTATCTGTTACAGATTTTAAACTGAATTGGGAGGCGAATTCGCTTGGTTTTTCGAAAGCTGACAATGTTGAACCGTGGAAAGGCGTAGACATGTATTGAAAACTCGAGGTAGATGGACTGCGTTTAGGCGTTTTGGGGACTCCTAATTTTTTGCCAAACGCTTCTTGAGAATTTACTCGGCTACGGCCTTCGGGGACAGATTCTAGTAGAGAAGGATTGCTAGGTAAATGGCTTTTGCTTGATATATTCTGTAGACCGTGTCTCGAAGACACTGGAGTTGGTTTCCTGGTGCGATCGCCATCTCTGGACATGACTTGCACTGCGCTGGCTGATCTCGCGAAATCCTGTTTCGGGTTTTCTTCCAACGCAACGTGAGATTGGTTTTTGAAAATTGGTGGGGACCCGTTCAGGTGTTTGTCATTAGGGGTCGCCTCCTCCGGGGTCAAGGTTAACTTGGGGTGTTCTGTATCTTCCAAATCACCAGAATCTTCTTCTATAAAGGGTTCCAACTGCAACAAATCAAAAAATATAATAGTACATGCATTTATAAAGCTTTTGTCCCAGGGTATTTATATTAAATTGTACAACATATGCATACTAAGAAAAACAATTACATTTAGCCATTTTCATTTAGTAAACAGGTAATAAAACAAAGATTGATTCAGTACAGAGACAGTAGCTATTGTTATATTCAATTGTATGCTTTGTACCGAAGTCATATCTTGTGTAACCATTCGTGGACTCAGTAGACAGCCAATGGTTACTATCTAATCAATCTTCACTTTCTTACCTGCTTACTACTTACTGACTTGATATTGATTAGGAATACCTTTTAAAATATGATCTAGACAAAATAAAACAATAGCTTTTGTTACAAAAAATACATAATTTATTTTTTAAACTTACATTTGAATTGCTTATGATCTAATACATACTATATATGTATATTAACTATTTAACAAAAAGTCGACATTTTCCTAAGATATATATAACCTCTCGCATGTTTCTCGTACACACGGTATACGAGAGAGTTGAGTGCCCATCGCGCAATTGTACACACGCGTGTACGAGAAACGCGAACCGATTGGAATTTTTTCTGTGACGTATATTGTCAAGTTTGCAACCCGTTCTTTATTTGATTGAACAGAATAGTTAATTCGCTTTTCTATTAACTCGTCGAGTACCGGTTTTGTAGACACAATTATAGAACAATAGGTTGCGGTCACCGGTGACCGCTTGGTATTTGACAGTTTAAAATATTTACCCGTGTGTATGATAGGCGCACGAGAGGTTAAGTAACTTGGAACAGTAATATGTCTAAATAAACATTAGTTTAAGAAAATAAATTGTCCCAATCGATTTCGATCACGATGTCCAGTCTGTCTAACTAGACTAGCGCACTACGCAGAAGATATTATAGTGCACAAGTGTGCGCAAACACAAGTAGACTCTCTGTTGCCTTTTTTGTTTTTATATTTGATGGGCTGACGTTTGGCCATCTCGCCTGTTGGTAAGCGATGATGCGGTCTACGATGGAGTACGTCGTCCCATAAGCAACCTATTCACTCGGGCCTTGAAGACATTATATATATATATACCCTTCAGGAAATATAGACTCTGGCAAAAAATTGAATTCCCTCACTGTCTGAACCCGATGGGACGGTTTAAACTGTCAAACACCGAGCGGTCACCGGTGACCGCAACCTATTGTTCTATAATTGTGTCTACAAAACCGGTACTCGACGAGTTAAAGCAAATAATAATATAACAACACTTTAAAGCCCCTGAAGAGATATACAGTAGTATATATATATATATAATGTGACACCCACTTTTCACTATTTATGTTATGACTCCCATGTAATAGGGGGTGAGCCTATTGCCATATGGATACTTTATCTAGACATATTACAGATCTAAGCTAAAAAAATTAATAATAAAAAATATATATACAAATAATGGAAAAATTCAAGGAATGGAAAATAGGTAAGGAATGAAATGATGATTTTTATAACAAAATAAATCAATTTCGAAATACTTAGATGGTAATACTACACTAAATTAAATTAAATTAACAAAAATACCTAACTTAAGTAATTAAAAAAAAATATTTGGCAAGAACAACGATTTTGGTTTATGATTTAATTCTTTACTAGCTTATGACAGCGGCTTCGCCCGCGTTCCTGTGCATTGAAGAGTGTACAGTCTTCAACGGTACATAAATATTTTGCTGATATTAAGATCGGTACGATCGCGCGATATTGCTTAGGTATATAATCACATTTCAAGTAATTATCGAGCAGTGTGATTTTACTAATAACGAAGTAAACAGAAGTTATGATAGTGTTTATTAAAAATTTTATGAAACTGTTTCAAAATCAAGCTTTTAGGCAAACGTAAATCAAACTCGTACTAAGGCTTCTGATTGGTTGGTTCATCCGAGCCGGCCAATCAGAGCGCAGAACGCGTACTCGTTTCGAATAATTTAAACGTAAATCAAACTCGTACTGAGGCCTCTGCTTCAATATTGAGTTGCATGATTCCACTTCACACACATGCATACAATGCAAGTTAAAAACGCTTGTAAAATATACCTTACTCCAAAGATATTAGATGCAAAACGACTATTAATTTTAGCGCTTTTGATCAACTTTGAACTAAAATTGAATCTTATATATTTGTGCTTGACAGCCGCTTTTGCGAATATTGGAACAGCAAAGGATCTCTTTTTTTTAGGGACAAGCCCGCCACAACCTCCCAAAACCACTACAACTCCTGTGCACCAGGATCTACAGTAAATACAACCATGAAAACACCGGAACACTGAAGTCCGGCGCGTCCCAGGGACATGAATAACTGTCTTGGTTCCCGCAACGAAGTGAATCAGAAGATATTATAAGAGGAGAAGAAAAAAAACCGAATTACCACTTCCCTCGGTAAATTACTGCAGGCGACAGTGAATTAAGCCTAAAGGCACAAAGAAAAGAGACTGTACAACTGGGTGAAGCCCAGTCACCGAGCACCACGGAAATTTGACTAAAAACTAAGTGGGTCCTATGTGTGAGCTGTTACATTGCTACTTACTGTTGATACTTGCTTCCAATAATAGGTATGGCAAAAGCGCCTAAACACACGGAAATTTTTTTTAGATTAGATCAAGGGATCTCTTCTGAAATTTACACATTTTTATGATTTTATAGCTAGCCTCGTTTGTTTGGTTCAAATTTAGTAATTGGAATGTCACCCCGTCCCTGACGACAGATGGATCTCATATTTGGTACACACTCTTAATCTTGATGACAATAGGGTAGTTTCCAAAGTAAGAAAATAAAAAATCTAATCAGCCCGTCAGTTAGATAATGAAAAAATATTAGACACGTATTTTTTATTTTCTCGTATAAAGTTACAATACTTTAATAAAATGGCGTTAAGTTTAGGAGTGGGAGGTAGTTACGTCACAACGTGGTACATTTTGTAGCCCGCTGTGACGTCACGCGACATTTCAAATCAATAGATCGACAAAAGCATTTAATTTTGTGAGAAAAGAAAAAATACGTGTGTAATGTTTTAAAATAATCTACCAGACGGACATTAAAATAAAATTTAGGAAACTACCCTATTACATTATAATCGAAATTTTTGTACAACTACCTCCATTATGTATATCAAACGAAATGGCTTGATTGGTAGAATAGACCTCATTAAAACCAATTAACATAGAAAATATGTTTTTCATATTACGTGTTAATTACATAAAATTCTATTTAAAATGAACCTTAAAAACTAATAATTCAGTTTAAATTCGGAAAATATAAACATGAATTGCACCCCGAGGTGTGTACAGAGGGGCATATTATACAATGTAACACCCACTTTTTACTATTTATGTTATGAGTCCCATGTAATAGGGGGTGAGTCTATTACAATACTAATATTCTTTTAGATACCAATATATAAATATATCTATCAATTGATCATGTAATACACCTGGGAGCAGAGAAAAGGAGCCACTGGTGTTATTTTAATTTTATGAAACATAAAGACACTAAAAATCGCGGATTACTCCGTGAATATACAGTACGCTGCGCGACGTCGCCGCGACAGCGCACGCTGCTCATGAGGAAGAACCCCTCTGTGGTTCGCAACTAGTGTAGAGCTCTTCTCAGTATATTCACGCAAATAACACGTTATTTTTGGTTAAGAAGGGTTCATTTTAAAGGTAACTAAATTGCCTTTTGTACGACATACTTGACCAATGAATGAAATACTTGTATCAGAAACTATTTACAAAGAAATTAAACAGGAAAAACGCTTCGAGCCGGAGCCGCGGTAACCCGTTAGGTTCTTCGCGAAGTACATAGTGACTAAGATATTATTTATTTGCAGGAAAAATCGTCCTTATCGCGTCATAAAATTAGTGGTCCTTTTCTCAGTATATTTACGTCTGTGAAGTTACTTTAATCTACTAAGTATGTCTCACGATAGTCAATATAAAAATAATGTGTACAAAATCGGAATAAAACAAAAAAATAAACGATTACTTTTTGTGAAAAATAAAAAATATAACAATTCAAAGCCTCTTATGGTAACTTCTATTCAATTTAACTAATTATTATATAACGCCCATTTTCACCAGCTATGTTAAGAGTCCCCTACGTCATAGGGGGTTAGTGTATTGCCCTTAACCTAACTCCAGACTCTATGCTTTTATGACAAATATTTAAAACACTAAAAAATATCTTGACATTACTATGCCCAGGACAATTACACAAATGTATTTTTTATAGCATAAGCCGATAAACGAGCTGACAGATCACCTGATGGTAAGCAATTAGCGTCGCCCATGGACATACTGAACACCAGGAGTGTTACAAGTGCGTTGTCGCCCTTAACGGGGTTAGGAGTTTGAGAATTGTTGGGGATTCAGGTATTGGAGAGATTAGTATATATATATAATGTGTATATATACCATGACGCCTTAAATTCTCATTGCAATAATTTTTGTTTATATTAGTATCGGTAGCAACAATGCTTACGGTTATCCTGATTGGAAGCAGACAGCGTAGTCAAAGTATAACTGCAATACTAGCGTGAGTACGTTGCCGACCATATATACATCGTAATATTTATAAAAATACATTTCATAATTAAGTTTCTAACGAACATATAAGTATTTTAAAATAAATTGAGCTCAATTAAAATATATTTGTGCATAGTATACATATTCATAACTTTGTCCCATGGTATAAAGAAACTACAGAGCGCCACCTACTACGCTCCTTACATACTTCTATAGCTTACACCACATTCATACATCTGATGGTATACAGAAACTACAGAGCGCCACCAACTACGCTCCTTACATACTTTCATTGTGCATAATATATAAAAATTATAAAACATAATTATAGATTATTATAAAAAAACGCTTTTATCTATACGTGAACATTAGCTCATGACGATACCTAAGTACGTGTGTCGCCTGGACAGTCACCGCTACCATCAGTTG